CTCTTTTAAAACCACATTTACTGTAGAGCTTTTACTTCTGAGGTGAGCTAGCCAGGGCTGGGGGATGTAATGTGTCTCTGAATCTAAATGTGGATTTTTGCCCCACTTTGCTGAACGAGAATTGTCTGATAGCGAAGAAGAACTGCAGCTTAAGTTTATGCAGGTATTAAAAGATTTTCTTTTTTCTTAGATGGAAGGTTTCCTAGAGATTTCAGTTTGGGACTGAATTGTTACTGGGCATAAAGTGAACTGTAAAATTTTAACATCTCTCTAAATGGATTTACATGGCTTATGTAAAAGTCATATATGTTTGGGTTTTTTCTGGAGCTGAAGCAAATTAATCAGTTTTGATAGCTTTAACTGGATGTTGTCCTAGTGTTTCTTACACATTTTTATTGGGACATGGCTACCAAGCTTTGCCTGTTTTTTAAGGGCTGTGCTATAACCCTGAAGTGTTTGTAAACACAGTCCTGTCGAAAGCCAGCTACTTACTTCTGGTTTACATTTTGCCATTTAATTCCAAGAACACTAATAAATGTTAGTTCTCTCTCTCTCACTCTCCCTTTCTCTCTGTGAAGGACTAATTCGAAGAGTGAGGTTAAGATTGTTATTTCTGTGGCGTGTGAAATGGGCTGGCTGCTAGAGAGCAGCAGAGCAAGGCGTGTGTCCTGCCTCCCAAGCAAGCAGCAGCAAAGAGCCTGCGTGAGAAAAGCAGGAGAGAAAGCAAGAAGGGTGCCAGGAGCAGAACTGTAAGAGCTCCAAGAATGTCAGAGTATGTGTGCTAGTTTCCTATTTGTTCCTGAACGTAAAGCTCTTCACTTTGATCTTACATATGAGGTGATGCAAAGCGTGGCCTTTGGGGGTGCACAAGTTGGGAGTTTTCCAAGGTGAAGGGAGGCGAGAGGTGGCAGAGGGGATTTGAGAGCATCTTCATTGTTTGTGACCACATTTGTTTGCAGTGAAAGGCTGAGCAGTGGGTATGGGCCGTGGCCTCTCTGTAGTTTTCCAGCCGTGTGGTACGTGGTGCCTGCAGTCCTCTGCATGCAGTTCTTGGTATTTCCAGATGCTGTTAATATATTCCCCGTTTCCCTGCAGTCCTTCGCTCGTTCGTGCAGCCAAGCTGTGCGAGCTGGCGGGTTTCCGCGCCGTGAGAGCATCGCAGATGCGGGATGCACTTGCTCCAAGGCGCGGGGAGGGCGGCTCCGCCCGGCCAGCCCCGCCAAGGGGCCCCGCGGGCTGCGCCGCGTCCCCGGCAGCCCGGCCGAGCCCTGCGCTCCCTTCAACCAGCGCAGCGCTGTGCCTCGGCTTTGGCCAATTCGCTATGGTTTAGGGCTGTGGAGCCAGCTGTCTGCAATCTGATGTAATGTTGCCCTGGAAACCAGAAATGAAACACTTAAGCATTCACCACAGAATTACTACATACAGCATTAGCCAAAGTAATTAAAAGTTGAGCCATATGGGCTTTCGGATGGAAAAATTTGGAGCAGAGGAGATGGAAGTTAAGTTGTTCCTATTTGCAGTGCTGCAAATCTGTTTGTTGTCCCCTTGAGGGCACAGGGAGAGGCGTACCTTGGCTGTGCACGGGGGGACAGGGAGCTGGAGGGGCTCTGGCTGTTTTATCGGCACATTAGGGACACCGAGGCGTGGCCTGGTGGAAGAGCCATGTGCCAGGGCCAGGAGGCATTGGTGGACAGAGCTCAGCATGGATTCCTCCAGTGCCAGAGAGCCTGTCTGTGGCTGAGCATCTTGCAGACCCATCCCCTCCGTAACAGACCATGTCTACCCTTCTGCAGGGTCACAGCACGCTGGAGTGCCTGTGGAGGGGAAGAGAGCAAGAGGGGGCTGGCAACTGGCTACATCCAAGCCCTCTGCCAAGGCCTTCCTGCTAGAGCTGCCCAGGAAGCCATTTGCCCAGGCTACCATGCTTTGGGGACACTGGGATAATTTCCCATCTGAAGTCAGGGAAAGCTACCAAAAAAAGCAGTTCAGTCACCATGAAAGAGGGGAGGGTAGAGTGTGTTGGGGAAGTTCAATGATTTCCAAATATCTCAGTTATGGCCTGAATGCTTTACATTTCTGTTCTCTCTTTAATATTAGCTGAAAAACAAAGCATTGCTTGAGCGATTGAGCTGGAAAATTAAGCTCTGTTTCCCATGTGCCAAAGTGGAAACTTTTGATAATTCCAAGGCCTTTCTTAAAAAGTTGATTCAAAAACAGGAAGTGAAGAGTAACCCTTTTGAAAATGAATTCATTTTCAAGGAATTGGCGTTATTTGACAATAAAGTTTCCCGAGCAGCACCACTGGTGCAGTCACAATTTTTAGGCCTTTTTGCATAAAATTATTGTCAATCCTTTTTCACTATAGAAGATTTCTCTGTCACATGCTACCTGGTATGATAGGAAGTAGGATTCTGGAGGGAGACTGTCTTTTATCTATCCATAAAGCATAACCTGTTCTCACCTACCTGCGAAGCACAAGGGATAGAAAAGATCTGTTGCTGCTTGTGGAAGACCCCAGCTCTAAAGGGTGCTAGGAGTCCTGAAGCACTGGGGAGAAGCAGCTGGCACCTAATTGTGATTGGACTTTATTTATTTTGAAGTATGGTGAGCATCCTCTGCACCACCTACTCGGGTTTGATGTCAGTACCTTGCGCTGAAGCTGTTTTGACACTTGCTCTTGCTGTGGTACTTGTGAATGCAAGTGTCAGATGTTTTAAAAGCTCTTTCTTTGTTGTTGCTGTTGTTGAACCTTCATAACCCTGAGGGGGCACAGTTCCTTATCAGATAGATATCAGTGCTGCAAAGCAGGACTAGCTGTTTATTCTTCAATGAAATCCTGGGTGGGAGGATCAGGTGTGAGCTGTTCTCAAAGTCTTACAGAGCTTACAGTTTCAAAAGCAGTAGTCTTGCAAACTGAGGGTGTACAAAAAGTAATGATGGAAAGCAACCCCCTAGAATAATTGCATTTAATATAAACATGTATTGAGTGCAGAATGTGCATGATGGTTGCTTGCCAGGATGCACTTAATGGCCCAAGAAGTTGTGACTGAACTTCTTGATTACAGTCAATAATCCATTCATCATTTTCTCTAAATGTGTCTGTCTTGTTTGACATATCACTAAGTTGTCCTAGGCATAATCTTGGAATTAATGCTCATGGAGTTGCTTAATTTACTTCATGTAAACAACCCGGGTACTCTTTACAGTCCTATTTTTCCCGAAGGAAGTTTATTAATTACCTAGCCAGTCTGTAACCACAGTAAACACATTTGTGCAATTCTTGGATGATGTATTGACAATTCCTACTGCCATATGTGGTCAGTTTGGTATTCTTCCTTATTTTGGAGTAATGCAAAGTTCGTGGGAAGCTGGTAATGGACAGTGCCCTTGCAGAAATTTGTTGAAGTTTGCTCTGGTGTGGTTCTGGGGCCCTTGTGAGATGCATGCCTGGGAGGTAGGCTTTCAGAACTGCCCTGGCTCTGTCAGGCACTGCGTGTGCCTTTGGAAGCATTCCAGTGCAGCTGCTAATTGGTGTCCTGCCCCATGGCATCTGCGCTTAGCACCTCATCCTGGTATTTAAGTGCACTAAAAAGTAGAAAGCATTTTTATATTTGGCCTCTCTTATTCATCCTCCAGATAAGCAGACAGAATTTTTGCTGGGAAGAGAAGGGAATGGCTTTTTTATTGTTTGCTTATTTTTACTTGGCTTGCATCTCTTGGGGATCTTTATTTTTAAAAGTTTAATTAAGGAGAAAGAGAAAAAAGGATGAGCACACTGTGGAAACCCAGATAGCTTCACTGACAGGAAGTTGCATGAGGGTTTTTAGAGCTGGCCATTAGGAATGCTGTGAATTGGCTGGGACTGTGAGTGCAAACAAAGTAAGGTATACGATCCATACCGCACTCCAGCTGGAGCCTGTGCTGTGCGCAGGAATGTGCAGCGGCGCAGGATGCCAGGGCTATCCTGGCCAAGCCCGAGAGCCCTGCTGGCCTCCTCTCCTCTCCCTTCCCTGCCCTTCCCCCCACCGCCTTCCACATTCTGAACTGATTAAAACAGAGGAAGTAGCACGTTGAACATTGGATCTGGCTCGAAAAATCGAAGTTGTCTTCTCGTTCACAAGGAATGGATTGTTTCAGCTTGTTGTGTCACTGCTGCTGGAGAGAAGGGAATTTTTTTTTGTCTCTGTAATGTTTGATACTTGAGGGAAAACAGCTGGAACTGAGCATACTGGATCAGATGCAAAACGAAACGGGATGCTGGGGAATATGGACTGAACTGTATATCTGAAAAGGTCAGAGTTTTCCCTTGGTCAGTGCTGGAGGAATGCTCTGTCCATCTTAACTCGAGCCTCAAGAGCCTTAAGGAGGAGTGTAAGGAACAGGGAGGAGAAAGTGAAGATTCTGTAGCTGTGGCAGTCAGTGAGTGAGGCAGATGAGGTCTCCTCCTTCCTTTCCTTCCCATCCCTTTCTTGTGCTGCTGTTTTTGATTTTCTGGGAAGACTGGGAGGGAAAAAAAGAGAAGTCGTCAGTGACAGCTTCAGTTTGGAAAAGCTGTTTATAACCAGGTTTAAATAGCAAGTTCTGAGATGCCAGACAGACCAGGGACTGACTAAACCACGGGAGCATAACTGGTATGGTAAGAAGAACCCTGGAAAAGAGCCCTGCCTGAAACATACTGGAAGAGGACGTGGAAGTAGTTATTACACAATGCATATGAAGAAAGACAAGGGCAGGAATGCATTTCGGTGCCTAGGATCTTACGTTGCACAGATTTAGAAATCAAAATGGTATGTCATGCTTTCAGAAAAAGAAAACGAAAAAAAAAGAAAGAAAGAAAACTCTCAGTAATTTAAATGTTTCTGTCTGACCCAAGCTGAAAATATAACACCAGTTACAGAGCTGCATTGACACAGCGCAGCAGATGAGCTGGGTTAACTTGACTTGAAGGAGCAAGCCATGGAACTGCTGCTTTATTAATATTCCCTTTGTTTCTTTGCCAGTCAAGAGAACAATCCGATGATGAAACAGAGGAGTCGGTGAAGTTTAAGAGGTTGCACAAGCTGGTGAATTCTACTCGCAGAGTCAGGAAGAAACTCATAAGAGTTGAAGAAATGAAAAAACCCAGCACAGAAGGTAAAAATCAACATGGTTAAAACTGTTTGTGTGAATTCATGTTTCTGTTGACAGGGGACAGAAAGTGGAGGGTTGGGGGAGGGAGGGGTGGAGTATTCTTAAGGGATGGTAGGAACAACTGCCTTGTCTATTGTGCATGCCTTAAGTTACTGAATTTTTAGGCTTTAGAAGGAGGAAAGTGACAGCCTAGAATGTGGTTACTGCTGATCTGGTATTCTCAGAGCAGCGCTGGAGAGCCCCTCATTAAGAGATCAGAAGTTGGCTTGTTTTATGCCCCATGCTGGGGAGGGAACGAGCCTGGGAGCAATCCCGGCCAGCTGCCCCACAAGCTCAGCAAGGAGGTAAGTGGAGCTATTACCACACTGCTCCCTCCTCCCAGGCCCTGGGTGGCACACAGGTGAAGCTCCTGCTCATTTTGGGAGGGCAGCAGCTGGCTAGTGGTCCAGTTGAACCACATGGCATCACCCTGTGGCAAATATACAGAACCTCTATCAGACATTCTTGTGGATAGAGGCTGCATTGTGGCTTCTACTTCCAGGGGTTTCTGTCTGCAATTTGGCATCTAAATGAGCCCTGCTCCCTACAGAAAGGGGGAGAGAAGGGAGGAGGAGAAGGGTGGGGAAAGGGAAGCAGAGTTCAGGCCCTGGGAACACAATGCTGCAGAATTAACTCCGGATGACCTGTATGCATGTGTGAGCACTCAGATTAATGGAGCCTGATCCTCAGGAGCCTCTCTGCACAGCTATGCTTGAGTCCTCCCTGGAATTGTGGGCACCCCTCCATGTTGGTGGCCTTCCTGGCATCATATGTCAATTCCCCTCAGCTCTGCAGTGAGCTGAGCAGCATGATGATTCTTCCCTAGTGCATTTAAGGAGAACACGTGCATCTTGCGTATGTGGCAGGAAGCTGCTGGCAGATCTGTGATCTAGCCTGCCTCTCTTACATTATGGTTGGTGTTACTGGCTAGTGTGGAAGGCACAGCCTGTCTAGAGCTCTGGAATGGACAGCTGTCTCTGTCTGGAAAGGTTTTATCACTTCATATGGTGAACATAAAGCCCAGATAGCTTGGAAACAAAGATGAGGATTTTGAGATGGGACAAACAAAATAGGACTGGTTTTCCACTGCTCTGGGGAAATACAGCCTTCAGAGAAGCCTGTCCTACCTCCTCCTTCTCTCCCCAGGGATCTGGGAAAAGCTGGAGGGAGCAATCAGGAGGAGGCTCCAGGGATGTAAGCAGACATAGGAGCAGGCAGCTCAGGGACTGCTGGGCATGCAGATGCCTTGCTGCAGTTGGACCAGACTTTTTCTTCAGCATATTACTTATCTGCCTTGCTCTCTGTATCCTCTCTTGGAGTGTTTTACCTCCTTATTTCCTTTCTCAACTCTCAGTCTCACTTAAGTGTGCCACTTCTTCCAGGACTTTTATTTCCTTAGAGTTTTTCCACCCCTACGCCTGCAGAAAAAGCATTGAACTAGCAACTGTATTTTAAAAAGTTTGTTCTCCTTCCTTCTTTTCCCATCTGCTGTCTGTCTTCTCTAGCTCTAGGCTTCTCTGATTAAATTATCTGTAGCTCTGAGTTTGTACTTTATCTATCATTCTGGAGTTTCATTGTAGATTTACTCTTAAAAAACTTGATAGCAGGACCAATTAGTGCTAAATAACAACACGGATTATATATTATATATATTATAACTTATGTATAACTGGAAGGCACCTTAAGTAGCCAGGCCTTAGCAGTAGATATCTGTGACTTTTCTGTCAGGAAATTCAACACACAAATTTTCATGTGGTAAATTAAAAGTGCTTTTAATTTACCCAATCTCCCATAATGGAGGTCTGTATTCCCAATTAGATATGTCAGAGAGCCCTTTGACAGGCTATGCAAGATGACAAAAAATAGGGTGGTCAGGTTTGAGATTGCTGTCTGGCCTTCTAAGTTACCTGCAGTTGACTGGATTGATTTTTGAGCTGTTTGCTATGGTTCGTTGAATCTGTGTAATGCATATGAAGTAATGTGAAATCATAGGTTACTAGGTTTTGGGGAGTTGGCTATAATATTTGATTGAGTAACGTCATTAAAATTTAAACGAATTCATTACTGTTCAACAGACTTTAGTATAGTATAAGAGTAGACTTATTTTGAAAACTGACACGCAGTTTCCTGGAAGAAAGATCCTGCAAAATCCTACTCAAATGTCTTCACAAATAACAACTTTGCTGAATTTCCCTTATGAGCTCCTGTAGATTTTAAAGAAAAGCACACTAATCTCAGATTCTGCTCCCACATTTCTATTGCTGACTGTGTTATCACAATGAATGCACATTTGGCCGAGCTGATACTCACTAGAATTTGCCAGTATCTGAATCCATATGTATTTTGTCTTAATCTGCTCCTTAGTGAGCCAAATAACTGAAACTTCCTAATTCCTGGGCACCATTCTTATATAGCACTTAAAAATGCATCACATCTACATCTGTGTCATTATGGCTTTGTGTCATGGACTCACTCCAAATAACATCTGTTACAGTGTTGACACACAATGCATATTTTACAAGCTGTTTAAAAATATATTTACTTAGTGGACTAAAATTGTTTATCAGTACATACTCAGTCCCAGGAGAAAGTCTATTTTCTGTTCAAATTAAGATGTAGAGGGGGAGAAGCACAAGCTGGACAGTCCAGGGAAAGTAGTGTCAAAACAAGTCTCCAATCTATAGACCTACCCCAATAAATTTCTAAAGAGTGAAAGTTGCATGCCAGATGTGATCCACTATCTCTTCAATGTCATGATGATCCTTATCATAGTAAAATAACATCTTAGGTTTCAACAAATATATTTTAGAAATGTTTTGCCAACAGGGTGAACTGAAGGTGAGGCAGGAATCCCATACAGGGCTGCTAATCTGTCATTGTGAAAGGTGTCCCTTGTTACTGAATGAGCCTGTTTAGTAAATTGTAGGTATTTTGGTAACAGTTCAAATTTTACTCTGCTGTAAGACTGTGGAAGCAATCAAAGATGAAGGCAAAGTTTTGTCATTAAGACATTTATTTTGGCAAGAAATGACTACAGCTACATTTGTGTGTGTATGTGTGTCTGATACAAAGCTAGGAATGCTGTGGAATTTGTCAGGGAGACAGAGGAGGATGTGTACTTTTTTTTACTCTAACCTTGTTACTGCATCTAAAACCTGTGCCTATACTTTGCTCAAAAGAAAACACCAGAGAAAAGTTTCTTATATGATAAATGTTAAAAGGAGTTGCAGTTTGAAGTCCTTTATTTTCTTCTCTCCATTCCAAAAAGGAAACCTGACTATCTGCCCATGTCCAGTACTTATGTTGCAAAATATTCCTGTGAAATATTTTCTGGAAAAATTTGGTGAAAACTAAGTGTTTCTTTCATTACCAGGACACTGTTGAAGTTGGCACATCTGCAGCTTGACCTACTTCTTTGTTTTTGCATCTGCTAAATAAATTCTGTGTGATTAAAACTTCCCCCATCAAAACCCCAGAACAATAAATTTCATCCTGGAGTTCAGCTCCATAACTTTCTGTGAAAAATACTCCTTTCTGCAGCCACAGGAGAACTAGGTATGGGAAAACTGGACCTGAGAGGTACTTATTTGGGTTTTAATACCTGGGTGTACTTCTGACTTTTTGTAAGCTCACTAGAGCTGAGCATCGTATGCAAGTAACAGAAGAAAAACAAGAGAAACAGATCCCAGCTCCAGCTTTTAAGGGATTGTTAGTTGGAACATCTGTGGTCTTAGCTGCAGATGAAAGAGAGAAACTTAAAATAATGATGAGTTTACTTACAGGATGTTGTCTTCTGGCTATTAACTAATCCCACATTCTCACTTTACAAATGGAAGGAGCTGCTTCAAGTTTATCCACTCAAAAATAACTTCTGAGTAATTTACTTCAAAAATAGTGTTCTTCCAATTTAAGTGGTTGATATCTTGAATAAATACAGTAAGACTCCACAGGGAAACCTCTTAGAGAATTATGAACAATGACAATCATTGTGCTGCTTTTGTCCCCTGCAGGTGTAGAAGAGCACCCACTTGACAACTCTCCTATACTGGATGACAGATCAGCACTTTACTCTGGAGTTCACAAGAAGCAATTCTACTTTGACAGCTCCTGCGAAAAGCAGCCAGAGGACGACTCGGACTCACTCACTACTTCTCCCTCATCCAGCAGTCTTGATACGTGGGGAGCTAACCGGAAGCTGGTGAAGACCTTCAGCAAAACTGATAGTCGTGGCCTTATCAAGCCTCCCAAGAAACTGGGGACATTTTTCTCTTACCCAGAAGAGGAGAAGTCCCAGAAAGTTTGCCGCTCCTTGACAGATGGGGAAATGAAGAAGAGCCTCGGCTCGCTGAGCCATGGGGTAAGTACAGAAAGCATTTGCTTTTATGACAGCAACAGGCACAAGCACCATCTTCTGGTGTCCCTGGAGGAGATTCAGAGTGTAAGGAAGCAGATCCGATTGAAGAAAATGGATACTAACTATTCCTGTTCCAGAGCTTTTCTTTGCCAGCGCCCTGCTAGGAAAGGAGCATCCCCCACAGCTTGCGACCTGCAATTGCTGCGGCACAAAACGAAAGGGGGTGGAGGTTGTGGCTTCCCAAACAGAAGGCTACGAGGGCGCACCTCTGTCAGCGAGTTCAATATCACCTATGTGGTGGAGAGAAGCCTGTACAGTCACCTCAACCTCTCACAGCTGGTGCGTCCCGTTACTGACAGGACCCTGAGCAAGGCCGACAAGCAGGACCTGAGGAGATGCCTGCTGGAGGAGGATGAGGAGGCCAAGAGGAAGTGGGCTGCCACAGTGGATCGCTGTACTAAAAGGGTTCTCTTGAGAATCCACCAAAAGTCTGTGAGTCAAAGAGTTGCCATGAAGGTGGTCTTCCAGTTTCTGTGAGGTTGCAGTGAACACTTTCTGCTTTGTACTTTTAACTAAAATTCAGTGCTTCTGCTTTCTTTGCCATTAGAAACTGTTAAGCACTGTAATGCAGGTATAAGGGAAGAGCTTGATAAAATCTTGTCAGAGATGAATTTTGTTGATTCTGCCATTTCTGTGTGTACAGAATAACTCAGTGAGAGAGAGCAAATATGACAAAATTCTGCTTTTTTAATTCACCTAGTGCAGAAGTAGAGATCACCAGTGAACAGAGAAGGTTTGAGATGCTACAAATATGTTCTTTGTGATGCTTTGGAAGTCAGTATTCTCTTCAAGGGGTACCAAGAGATGAACAAAGTTTTCAGAGTAATAGAGTATTGTTACTTAACTGAGCTCTATTTCTCTTCAGCTGTCATTGCCTTAAATTGGCCCTTCCCTTCTCAGATTGCATCTCATCAGTTCACTCGCCCAGTCAGTATTCTCCCTTACATACACAACTGCAGAAAGATAGAGAATTTGGCATTAGGTAGTTACTGCCCTCCTGCTTGCTGCTCACCACCACCAGAATTGTCACTGCTGCTGCTTCTTTCTAGCATGGAATGAAGGTGGTACCTTCCCTCAGAGCATTACAGAAAGGGATCAAGGGGTGGCCAAAAGAGGAAATTGTGCTTACAGTGAGAAATGTAAGTGATTTGAACACTCCAGAGGGATCCAAAGCTGCTTTTTGAGTATATGACCCAGTTTTGACAGTTCCATTAACCATGATTCTGAGTTTCCTAGGAACTTGCCTTTGGTGCCAGATCTCCAAAGCTGAGCCAGCTAGTCTGTTGTGTAGTTGACAACGTTCCCTACTTTAGTGGATGGAAACAGCAGTGCACCCATAACATTAAGCAAGATATTCCAGTGAACAATACAGTAGAAACAGCTTTTCCTCTTAAATAACAGATTTTTTTTTTGAGATGTCTCTGCTTAATTTCTTCTGATATAAGGTACAAGAGTGACAGCTGTGGTCTCCTTGAATAGCCTATGGGAGGTGACCAAGTCCTCATGGTTCACTTTTTGCTCTTTGACCACAAAATACAGGGAGGTTTTTTCTATCCAACACCATGAACATTCTCTCTTGGCAGCTTTACTGTTCCTTCTGCATTGACTGCTTACCCTGCCTCTCGCAGGATACTTTCTATTGCTATAGACATTGTACTCAGATGATGTTGTTTTCATGTAAGGATATTGCAGTTTTAGGAGAAACCTTGCTCATCCTTCTGTGGGTTGAATAATAAGGTTATCTTAAACCAAAAAGCATACTTGAGATGTTCTAGAGATGCCCTATAATGAAAAATACCCTCTAAAACTGTCTTGGTAAATACAGATGACAGAAACAACTCTTTGGTTCTTCTAATAAGTTAGTCTTGTCTCACCATAATAATTTCATTATGAAAACTATCTGCACTGACCTTTGCTTAATCACAGAGATACAGTTAAAGAAATGGACAGTGCTTTTTTGTTGTTGAGGAACTTCTCAGTCAGCTGCTTCTCCAGCCTTGTGTGAATGGGATAAATGTTGGAGACCTGCTGCCCTTACTAACTTTTTCAGTGCACTTCCTAAAAATGCAAATAGCTGACAAGCTTCAACTAATGCTGCTCCTTCCTAGAAACGCTTAGTTTTTGTTTGCTGCAACCTCAGGGAAACTGCAATGCCTCTGTATTCAGTGGAATTGGTCACTCTGTCTTGCCTTGCCATTCATTTTTGTCATTTATATTTGTTTCAGTGGCCTGGACATGCATGAAATTTTCAAATGGCATCAGTTTTTCTTTTCTCCCAGAAGAATAATACTTTTGATTGCATGGCCATTCCATTGAATATCCGTCTCCTTATCCACAGACCTTTTGTTTGCTGCAGGATTGCCAGGGTCCCTACTGGAATCTGAAGATGGAAGTTAAATTTTACATGTATGGGCAGGTCCATAGTGAAACATCAATTATCCTTAATAAGGTGCATTTACTCAGAAGTTTTTAGCCAACAGTTGTCTTGCTCTCCAAGAAGACTTCTTTAGGAGGAGCTCTGGCTGGTTTGACAGACAAGTTGCTCAGAGCAGTTCCAGACGTCCTCTCTTCATTGATGGGATTACCATACGCTGTAGGATTAGTTATAATGGTTCTTCACAGAAGGACCAAATTACTCCTAGCTAAACATGCTGTGCTTTAGAAACTGATCTCACTACTTGTGGTTGGTCTCTAATGTTTTCTAAAAACAATTTTTAAAACCCATGCCATAGTCACATTACCTTCTGGAAAAAAAAAAAAACCACTTAGAAAAATTCTACATCACAACATTTTCTTTAATGTTGTGGGGCCTAGACAAAGCTGGCTTGGAGTTCCACTAGAGTTGTAGTAGGTATAAAAACTGTCATCCAAGATTGCTGGGTGTAGCAGCAAGAAGCTATAAATAAAACCTTTTAAAAGCTATTAAGACCTTTTAAAAGCTTCTAAGTGGTGAACAGAAAGAGTGTTTACTTTAAAATAATGAATTCTTATAATTGTTTCTTAAGTGTCACAGTTTATATAGCTTGCTTCTTCCTAATAGATTAAGTGAGCTGGTGCTTCTCAGGTGGTGGGTTTTCACTGACTCAATCCTTTGTAGGTCTGAGCCAATACCTAATCAATACCTAATTGATTCTTAAAGGGTCCTTGAAGTTACTCTGTTGGGTAGTTCAGACCCTAAGAACTTTTAGTTCACAAGCGTTGATTTTCTGCCTCCTGTTTATCTCAGCTCTGACTCTGAAAATAATTCTTACAGCAGGCATCTGCCTGTCTTCAAAGCCACACTCAGAGCCCAGAGCTGAAGTTGTGCGAGTTTATTGTAATGGCCATACCTTCATTTCCCTGCATTGCCCCATGAGACTTGTGCCAAGGCCAGTTACTTGAGTACTGTGCAGCTGGTTGTTCATTGGTCAGGTTTTATTACCTCTTTAAAAAAAAACTGAAAGTGACTAATCTGGAATCAGCTGAGTCTCTGGGGACACAATGCTTATGGATAGCTGAGTTGGGTTTTCCCTCCTCTTACCAAGGGCTTATCCTACTAGGCTTCCAGTGATTCCCTGTATTTCAGTGGAAATGCAGCCTATGCCGCTATTCAGAAGGTAGGTTATTCAGTGCTTTAAAAGATTTAGAAGATTGGTGGTTCTCTGTTTCAGTGTTGCTGTGAACTTACTTATGAAGGCAGATGGGAGTGAAGAGATGGAGTTGCCAGCACCTTGGAAAACTTGATGCATAAGATCAACAGTTTCCTCAGACCAAAAAGTCTTTTTTCTTTTTAAAAAGAGGAGTAGGCAGTAGATGACTCAACAGCAGCAGACCTTAGGCCAAGGAGTTGTCTCTGGAAAAGAGAGACTCATACTGCCTTGCAACAGATTTCCTGATTTATAATCTCTCATCCCTTTGTTTGTTTGTTTCTTTCCATTTTTGCAGACATTTGTATTTCAATTGGTGTTCTCCAAACTGCAGATGTTCTAAGTTAGCTAATTATGGTGATAAAACTATCTATCCTTGGTTTCTTGCAGAGAACCTGTAGCTTTGGAGGCTTTGACTTGACAAATCGTTCCCTTCATATTGGAAACAGTTCTGACCAAATGGTGAGTTTGAGAAGGTGCAGGCTTGAAATAGCATAAAATGAAATGCACAGTAGAGTTATAATAGACTGAAGTGTAATTTCGGTCTGTAATAATAGTTTGGGAATCCAAGAAAACAGAGCATCTTTGTTAACCTCAAACTTCCTTAGCTTTGAGAATAACATACCCGCCCATATCCACGTGTGTATAAGTATTTATATACAGTATGTTCAAAGAGGTAGGAACAAGTGATCAAAGCACAGATCTGGGGGCACATCTGTGGCTATTCTTATATTTGACTTCCTCAGAGCATCACCCAAGGCAAAACATGTGCTTGCTATACTTCCTTGGTAAAAATATTTACTATTTGGAATGATGAGGCTAACTTCACTGAAGATCTGCAAATTATTTGCATGGAAGTCGTTATGTAAGAAGTTCATTATTAGTTTTCTCATTGTATCTCAGAGCTCTGGAGTAGACCAGGATCCCATTGTGCTGGGTGCTGCGCAATTGATCTTAGAGCATTTTTATATTTAAAAAAAAAAACACATCTCCCCTGAGAATTAATTCCATTTTATGTTAGTCATGTTGATCCCACTGTTACTGTTGGTTGGCCTGTGGCCAAAAATAACAGAACAGAAATGAGCCAGAACATTATATCAAATGAAATTGCAAACATATTTTTTCCTTTTGCCCATATATGCTTTTCTTTTCTGTTTCAGAATTGGATTTTATAACCTTCCTGTCCACCTAAATCAAGTCTAAATTTTCAACCATTTTGTATGCCAGAATTATATTATTTTTTATGTCAGCTGGAGTTTTCGGGCATGTTTTTTGTTGCCTTATTTTTTTTTTACATCATAAATTACCCCTAAATTTGCTAAATCTGTGGGTGGTTATTTTTAGTCATCAATTTTCAACTCAGCAAACAAATTAACTTCTGAACTAATAGTGTTTATCTTTAAACATAGATACTTGTTTTTATCAGATTGATTTTAATATAAGAAAGTGTGAAGTCTAGATTTATCCCTGGGAGCATCAGTAGTGGGAGAGATGCAGTGTACTAGATCCATAAATGCAGATCAAAGCAGGTGTTTTTTTCCTTGGAAACATATAAGTCCATTAGGTAGAACTTTTTTTTCAAAATATTAGGCAAAAAGCTGTCAAAAATCAGCAAAAATTTCTGGTAAAAGATGAAAATTACCAAGGAAGTTGTAATTATGAACAACTTTTAAGTTGAATTTCAGAGAAACTTCTTGTAAGAACATTGATGAAGTAGAAAACATACATGAATGTAGAAAAAAAGATAAATCTTTAATGTACAATATAGTACATTTATTTTAGGGTTTGCTAAATTCTTGTAGCGAAATTTAACTAGATCAGAGACCAAACTCAATAGTCAATCTCTCTGGCCCAATTGATTTTGGTCCATTTTTGTGCTATGATTTTTGGTGTACCCTTGCCAATGGAGGGTGCTGGAAAACATCTGATAGAGCTGCATTGCTCAGTGGTTCCTGAAACAGAGTAGAACATGTTTAATGTCCTGCCTGGACAATCTGAATAAGGGCTGAATCATACAAGTTTAGTAAAATGGCAGCTGATCCACGTTAACTGTGTACTTGTGATAAAAGTAAGTGCTCAGTACCTTAAGCTGGTTTAGAAAAGGTTAAGTGAATTCAAAGCAGCTGGTCTTTGTCCACTATATAGGCACCAGCTAATTTAGTTTGTCAGTACCCTGTTGTGTGCCTTAAAAAAGCAGTGCAAGTTTAACCTACCATGGCTGATGGATTTAGTACATTTTTTTGTGGTGTTTGGTTTTTGTTGGTTTTTTTTAGGGTGAATAGTAAAACCACAGAGGTTAGCAGAATGCCTGTCTGAAAATAAAAAGTAAATTTAGGTAGCCAAATGTAGATATCCACATATATATACACACACAGAGAGATATATTTGGCTATATCTCAGAGGTACCTTTATTCCTGCTAAACTCTTTGTAGCATTGAACAATATGAGCCACAACTACTGTTGTGTGTCCTGTTAGAAAGGCTTAGCCTGAAACGTAGGGTTTTCTATCACATCAAATACTTACTGAAATTCAAAGGATAAAGGCATCCTAACAGTCCTCAGCACATCCACACACAGTACTGTCACAAATCAGGCCTTAAGAGTAAGCAACAGTGGACTGCTACAGTGGTTTGCAGAAGGTCTCAACAGTGAATTTGAAACAGGCAGCAGGGCAGTGTGCTGCTGTCCTGTGTCTGCCTGGACATCTCTGCACTAACTGATGGCTGAGGGAGAAAATGGCTCTTCTATTTTAAAGGCTTAGGCCCTGTTTTATTTTGCAGGGCAAAGAAGGAGACTTTGTTTATAAAGAAGTGATCAAATCACCCTCTGCCTCCCGTATATCTCTGGGCAAAAAGGTGAAGTCTGTAAAAGAAACCATGAAGAAAAGGATGTCAAAAAAATACAGCAGCTCTTTGTCTGAGCAGGTATGTGAGGTCTGCAGTGGAATCCACTTAATAATGTGGAAGTGATAATCAATATTGATTCCCACACATCAAGGCATCTCTGAAGAAATTTCTAACAAGATTATATGGTGTGACTTATTCCTATGTTCTTATAAAATCCCTCACTGTGAAATGGCTTCCTATAGATGCCAGTACCATGGAAAATGCATTTTCAGATTTTCATTTAAGTAGCTCATCAGAAGTCTGTCATTGATGGCATTACACACCTCAGTCTCTATTTCCATTTCTTTTCTATAACAATTTATTAGGGAACCAGCCTGTGACACAGGGTCACAGTAATATATTTAATCTGCAATTTACACCCTAGTTTAAATTCCCAGCATAACTTCACATATACACTGCCTTTCTCTGCTATTACAGGTCTCTTCTCCATCATACCTTGCCCTGTGCAGCAGCCCATTAAAACAAAGGCCCAGTCTAGTCAGAAAGGGGCATCTGCCAGAAGATTTTCCTATTATTCTTTCATTACAGATTTTTATAGTCTATTCTTAAAGGCAAACCTGTAGTACATTAGTTCTAAATTAGACTTTGAATTTCAGTGGCCTAGAAACAATTGCTGTCTTTTTACGTTTCCCTTTAGTGGAGTGTCAAAAATTTTCAGCATTTGTTTAAAACCGGGCTCGCCACTTGGATTGTGTAAGGAATAGGTTGGAGAGGCGCTGGGAAGGCAAAGCTCTTCCTGGTTAACACCGCCCCCCAGTGGGCTCGGACTGCTCGCGGGGGATGCTCGCAGTCGTGGGAAATCGGGAATGGAAGTTTTGCTCTTAATGCAAAGCCTTAGTGCCTGTAAAAGGAGCACTTCATACCATTCGTAGTAACAACCCCAAACTGAAGAATCCAGAGGCACCAAGAGAGGCAGAAATATGGCCAGTGCTTTGTGACTACAGAATCCATTTCCTGCAGAACTGTTTATTAGCCATGCTTATTCATAACCAGGGCAGTGCTACACTTACGGTCACTTAATTTAAACTTAAAATATTTTAAGGTATAACATGATTTAATATATATAAGAAGATGGTTTGGTGTCTGACTGGCTTTCCAGTGTGCCTCTGCAAAGTCTGCCAAAGAAAAGGAATCCTTTGAGAAATTGCTTTACAGTGATTTAGCAATACTTCTGCTCTCTGTCACTCTAAGATTGACTTAACCTCTGAAATCATAATGCTGGGATCAGATTTTCCTAATGATTCTGCACCATGCAAATAATAGTGTTAATCTAAAAGCTTTGTGACCATACATCTTGACAAAACACTCTTGTATGCAAGCTACAGTTCTTTTGTTTTCAAACTTTATGGCACAGCTGGTTTAGAATATTTATAACTTTCAGGCATCATGATTCAAAGTATGTTCCAGTATCTCTTTTTACATGCATTAAACAAGCAAAAGCTATGCTGGCCACAAATATCTGCTGCTTTGCTTTAACTGTACTTCACAAAGGCTGACAGAATTTCAGTTTAGGAAAGACCCTTTTGATTTTTGGTAATGTTTGACTGTATGAAAAGAGAAATTGTCTCAACTGTTGTACACTGTAGCAACCAGGATATACATGTAGCAAAATCTTTTTATATTTATGCATTTATGTTTATAAGTATTTGTATCATGCACAGGCTGCATTTTCTAGCTAATTCTTTTTTTGTTGTTCTTATAGATAAATGAGCAATGATATAAAAAATAGCTGAAAAAAAACCCCAAAAACATTGCTTCATGTCTTACTTGAATTGTCTGATTTTTTTGAGTTAATCTTTGTACAAAATTCTGATTCAGAGACCTGAATTTGGCACTAGCTGTTTTGCAAGTACTGTTGTCCTAAATATAATGTGTCATGAAAACCCTTGAATTGAGAGTTTTGTGTAAGGTTTTTTTTCTACTTACAATGCTAGACAGAAGTTTTCAGCCTGTCTGATAAAGAGCAGGGAAACAGAATCTTTTTCCTTGGCGGCGGACAAGCAGCTCCCGTCAGTGCTGTGTTCATTTATCAAACTTTAATGGTCCAACCCCTTTCAGGAGTGCAGCCCTGGGATCGTGCCGGGTTCCCCGCAGTCGCCACCACCAGACACTGACTCCCTGGACAAGCCCAAGCTGAAAGCTGGCGGCTCGGTGGAGAGCCTGAGGAGTTCCTTAAGCGGTCAGAGCTCAATGAGTAAGTTCAGTTGTAATTGTGTTGCTCCATTTCTGTGGCTTCAGGGAGCAGAGATCTCCACTGTAAGCAGAATCAGAGAAGGTCAAAGCAGAAACAGTGGTTAAAACGTGGAAAGGCTGAAGGGTTAGTCATTAGGGGCTTGCAAAGAACTGTAAGCTCTTTGGTGCAAAGGCAGGGCTTTTTTGCTTTATGTTTATACAGAACCCTGAAAAAATGAAATCCTGCTTTCTGTCTACTGGGTCCTGCTATTACAATATAAATATTCTAATATTAAATTAATGTAATAATTAACCTGTTTACTACTGTTTAAGTAGTAAACTACTTTACTACTGTTTAAGTAGTAAACAGGCTCATCTTCCACTGGATTTCTCCTGAGGGCTCCAGAAGGGCCTTCCACTCTCTGTTGAGAGAAACCTTGAGTTTCTCTCATCAACTAGTTAAAGGAAGGGTGGTATTTATAACCTCACTGGTTTAGACTGTCTCTACAGGAAACAGCCTAAATGGAACACACATGATGTGAACTTGCTACACTATTCACCAAATTTCTGGACTTGAGAGGGATTCTGGAACCCTCTTGCAGGCTTCAGAGCTTATTTTCCTCACAAACGTTTTGTGAGCAAAACTTCCCAGAAATATGTCGTCAATTTCTTGTGATGTGCCATAGATGAGACACTTGTTGAACAGCTTCTCTGTTAAATATTGAGGGGGTGAATTCAGGAAAGCAGGAATGCAGAGTAATTTGCTAACTCTCCCATCCACACATGTGTATAAGAAGAAGCAGCATTTGAGGGCTTTTAACTTTGATTACCATGTTTTGTGGAAAGAAGAGCCATTTTCTGTCTGGTCTGTTTGTGAAGCTTCTTCACGAAGAAACTTTTTTGTGAACTGATACAATGTCCCTCACACAGGTGGTCAGACAGTGAGTACAACAGATTCCTCAACCAGCAACAGGGAGAGTGTGAAATCAGAAGATGGTGACGATGAAGAGCCTCCTTACAGAGGACCTTTCTGTGGAAGAGCCAGGGTTCACACTGATTTTACTCCGAGTCCTTATGATACAGATTCTCTGAAGCTCAAGGTACCAGCTATATCTGTTTTTAAGGAATCAAAAATTTATTTTGCTAAAATTCTAAATTAAGACCTTTTTACAAAAACTATAGAATTCTTAATCTTTTAATGAATTCGTATCTGTTTTTGAAGGCCTTTAACCTGTCTTCGACATTTAAGATTTCCTTATATAGCAATCACAGAACTATAGCAAAGTGTTATAGACTGTAAGTAACTACCAGTGTTTCTCTGCATCCATGGAAAGACACTTGTGTCTTTAGTTTCTGGAAAATTAAAGATGTGCCATGAACTCATTTCCATTTTGCAAGGATTTTGCTTAAAAGATTGGAAAAGTACTCTGTCTGCCACAATGAAATAATCCTCAATGGAAAAATTTTCAGAACTCTTGGAAGAAATGTGCATGCACCTGCACACAGTGTCTCTTAAAGGCATTTCAGTCAATATAACTTGTTTTGAGTTAATATTGAAATACTTTGCTAACTGAGTGGTCACCACCCTTTAATTTTTCTGGATATCAGCTCTGATTATTTTTAGTTATGCTGTAGTCAACTCAAACTATCTGACTCCTTACATTCATTACTTAAAATTCCAAGGGCAGCTAATCCCTACTAAACCAGATGTATGTAAGGTAATCTCTTGAGGCATGCAAAAGCAGTTGCATGTCCATTTCTTCGTTATGGTCAGGAGCACATTAGGAAAAGCAACTTTATCAATTCCCTCTGCATTGGCTTCCTTTGCTCAGGAGATCTGATTTGAAATTCTACTCATATACACTGTGTTCTTCTTTGCACAATTTCAGGTAGTTGCAAGCATAGAGACTTTTGTACCAAACAGCACTGATGCTCTACAGAGATGTCAGTGGGTTTGTGAATCTGGACCGTTGGGGTCTATTCCAGGATCTTTTGTTGACTTGCTCTGAGGCATATCACCTAATTTCTTTTTCTTCCATTTGTAAAACAAGTTTAATCAGACATCTTTGCAATTGCTGTGGTTAACCTTTTTAAACTGAAGTGTGTTGTCCATCCCATGTACATAGAAATCCAAGTGGGTACGTTTGCTGAAATACCTGTCAGAAAGCTAAATGGCTTTCTTGCTTCTTTGGTCTGCAGAAAGGTGACATCATTGATATAATCAGCAAACCCCCCATGGGCACTTGGATGGGTCTGTTGAACAACAAAGTTGGCACCTTCAAATTTATCTATGTGGATGTGCTAAATGAAGAGGAAGAGAAGCCGAAGCGGCCCACCAGGAGACGGCGAAAAAGCAGACCACCCCAGCCCAAGTCAGTTGAGGATCTCTTGGATCGCATCAATTTGAAGGTCCAAATTCTCTCTGTCTCTGCTTACCCTTTCACTTTTTCTGGCAGGAAGGGGACCACGCCTTTGAAGTTGTTAGTTCTGGAAGCTACACACCAGATTCATAATCCTAAGGATTGTCACACTGCTTAGCAGAATCGGGTCTTAGCTGCAGAGTGAAAATAGCTGAAGTGCAGAACTGCCTGTCAGGCTTGATGAAGTGCTGCAGGCTGTGAGTCGTGTACACTCAGACACTGGAAATTGTTGCACAGTATGACCACAGGCTAGCACACTCCAGAGGCAAGCAAAAAATGTAAAATAACAACAGTTATCCTGTCTTTAAAGAGGACATTTTTCCATGTTTTTATTCAGAAGTGCTTGGGATAAATTGATGTGGCTGTCATTCTCCCTTCATACTTGTCCCCTCATACAGAGCCATGCCACGTTGTGCCTTCAGGTAGAATGGTACCCAGGCCATCTAATGCACTGCATTCCAAACACAACAGTATGTGCAGTGTTCTAGTTCTGGCACAGCTACCTCCCTGAACTCAGAGCAGTGCTTATGCAAACTACAATGCTATAATTTTGCTGTTGTGCATTGGTTTGCACTTAGTTAACTTACTGCTTTTCTTGCTGGTTGCAAAAATCCCTTTTAGTATCTTTACTGACAAAATAAGTTGAATAAATATGTTGTCTTACCACTCATTTTTTTCCCTTTGTGCAGGAGCACATGCCCACTTTTCTGTTCAATGGTTATGAAGACCTGGATACCTTCAAGCTTTTAGAAGAAGAAGATTTGGATGAACTGAACATCCGAGACCCTGAGCACAGAGCTGTTCTCCTCACAGCAGTGGAACTTCTTCAGGAATATGATAGTACGTGGGATGTTTGAGGTTTTCTGTTTTACTAGAGCTCTGCCAAGAACCTTGTGAACCCCTTAAACCAGAAAACTTGTTCCAGGATTTTGATCTTTTTTTTCCTAATATAGTTATTTCCAGGGTAATCCTGTGTAACGTTAGATTTTTGAGGGGTGACATAAGACTTCTGTTGTTCCGCTGGAATTACTCTGTTCGTCTAAGCCTTACCACCCAACTTATTTAATTAATATCAAGTGTAAAACTCATAACACTTTAGAATACTGATGCTCAAGAATAACTCATGAGATTACCTACTTAAAGTAGGAGGTTGAGACATAGAGAATAGGAAAGAAGACATTTCCAGATTAGAGGGAAGAGATTAAGATTATCAAAGTTAAAAAAGTCAAAGCCCAGAGGGCTGTGGAGGAAGTATAATGTGAATTAATTTTATCACATGCTTTTGGTTCTTGGACTGTTAACTGCAGGATTGTAAAGGTAGCTTCAGTTGTGTATATGACAACACAGCAATTTTCAAAGGGAGCAAATATATCAGTCAAGTGCAGAGTGAAAAACAGTGACCCACCTATCTATGTACAACAGTGCAGTTTTGCTCACTGAACCACGTGGTCTTGGGCAAGTGGTTGCAAAGACAAGGAAAAGTGGAATAAGCCATGGCAGTCAAATGCAAGGAGTAAGCAGAGCCTAGCTGCAGCAACCTAAGACAGTTCTGAATTTTCCCTTCATCCCCAAGTGTCAGCAGAAGGTTGATATCCACCAAGCAAAATCAGTGGAATGGATTGTGTGAGGGCATTCTCAGCTGCTTCTGTGCAAATTCCTATGTTTTAGCTTAAACTTCCATAGCAGCTATTTAAACAGCTGTTATTAATTTTGAAATGCTTAATTCAATTACAGCAATATGTGTGGTGAATATCTTTAAACAGTGCTGTGTGGCCTGTGTAGTTTTCTTGTTCATTTCCCAAAGAGGCAATCCACTCTTTCCTTGCGCTCCTCTAGCTACTAATAAAGTTGCAGTTACAGAATTAGTTTCTTTTCACTTATATCAGAGTAGCTTTTTGTCACCTCAGATGAGCTTCTCTTCATTATTTGCAGACCTATTTAGAATGCTGAACTTCCCTGCAGTAATAATTTTCTTCAGGACCCTTCAATTTTGGTTTGCAAACTTGAAGATTTGGTGGTTGGAAAGTACAAATTCCAGCTTCAAGTCAGGATGACGAGGAGAAAGAGAAATGGAGACCAGACAGATGGAATCTGGGAGGGGCAACAGCACATAGTTCTACCCCATAATTACCTGTCGTGCTGAGAGTAGGAATTGGAGTAGCCATTTCTGACATTTCATTGCAGAGGGAAAATTACCACAGCATAAACTATGTACTTGTATGATGACACTGGTTTTCTGTATCTTCAGCTCCAGATTTAGCTTCTTTATGAAAAATGATTCCTGACAAAAATTCTGGGTAAATTCCTGGAATCCAGTGTATGCAAGCTGGATGGACCACACTTGAGTGTTGGCTTTTTACATAGACCAAGGAAGGAAGGATTGGCATCATTAGTCTCCTTCATGTCCCTTCGTCCTTTCTTAGGGGACAATATCTATCTGTCTATCTGCCAGACTCAGTCCCAATCCTTCCTCCGGGTCTTCTGGGAAGGTAATTAAGAGTTAGGATTTTTATTTTTTTTCCACTTGACTTGATTCTTTTCAGCTCTTTTGTTCTGCTTTAGGTGTTGGAGGATTTTTTTAAGTCTTAGAAAGAACTTTGACATAAGCATTTTAAATAAATTTCTGTGGTGGTAAGTTGCAGAACTTGGCCCCAAGGCACCTGAGGAGCACAGGAATTCCATTCTGCTTTCATTGTGTACCATGCTGCTCCTTCACACTCTTTCTGAGGCTTTTATTGATAATTTACCAAACAGGGTGAATGTTTCCAACACTTGTGATAGCTTTTCCTACTCTTTTCTGATACAAATAATACAATAGGAAAGATCATAGAATCCTTTAGGTTGGTAAAGACCTTTAGATACACCAAGTCCATTCGAGTCCACCACTAAACCTGTCCCTAAGGGCCACATCTACATGTCTTTGAAATACCTCCAGAGATGGTGACTGAGTCACTGCCCTGGGCAACCTGTTCCAGTACCTGACCACCTTTTCAGTGAAAAAATTTTTCTTAATTCACAAACTAAGCGTCCCCTGGCACAACATGAGGCCGTTTCCTTTAGTTCTATTATTTGTTGCATGGAGAAGAGGCTGACCCCCACCTAGCTACAACAGTGCAATTCTAGAGGACATTTAGGTCTCCCCTGAGCCTCTTCTTCTCCAGGCTCAACACCCCCATCTCCCTCAACCACTCCTCATAAGGCTTGTGCTGCAGACCCTTCACCAGCTGTGTTGCCCTTCTCTGAACACACAAAATAATGGTGTTTGAAATGGAAGGTTGAGAAGTTCAGCTGCATTTTCTGTTTGCCTGTTTTTCACTGTGTTCTCACATCCTCTAGGTAATAGCGACCAGTCAGGATCTCAGGAGAAACTTCTCATTGAAGGCCCAGGCCTAAGCGGATGCTCTCCTCGGGATTCTGGCTGCTATGAAAGCAGTGAAAACCTGGAGAATGGTAATGGTGACAGCAATGAGCCTTACAGTTCCTGCAGTCTTTTCTTTTTAGAAGATATCTTCATATACTTTTGCTCCTGTCCCTAGCTAACACAAGCTACTTCCTACTTGACTTTGTCCTTTGCTCTGACTACTACCTCTTTCCCTCTTGGCTTGAGACATTGGTTTTCATTGGTTTTTACTGTTTACTGTAAAACTCTGCCTTCACTGCAAATAGCCTTCCAAAGGGGCCGATGCAAAACCAGTCTTCATGCACTTTCTTGCTCTCTGTTTTGCCATTGTGAATAGTTTGCTGCTCATTTAAAAGAAGAAATAACTATATTGGCAAATAATTAAAAAATTCATAAACAGGGTGTTTTTAAAAAATCCTATGTAAACTAGTAAACTTTATTAAAAGATGAACATCATTATTTATATACTAAGATTAGAGACAAAGAAAAAAATGTATATCTTTTGAGGTATTTCAGGGGGGGCCTGTCAAACCACTTCATACAATGAGCATAGGGTATCAGTTCTAACTGTAGGATACAGTACTTCTACACTGAACAAGGTTTATGTGAGCTAAACCTCAAATCTCTGCCATTTGGAGAGTAGGAAGGATAGTAAGTATTTTGGATGTATTTTACTTTACAAATAACAGTTACTAATAAAGCTGAAGGTCAAATCAAATCTTTATGCTTGAAATGGCATTGAGTTCTTCTACACTCAGAATTAACAAAAAGGGAATAAATCATTTTGTTTCAGAAGCATTTGACAGGGATCTCTTATTATGCTTCAGATTTTATTTTTAATGGTGGATTTATTTGTTCCTAGGTAAAACTCGAAGGACCTGTCTTCCACCCTCTAAATCAGCAATTGAGCATAGCTTTAGGGATTTCAGCAGAAACCAGCTATTAAATTATCCCACTCTTCCACTGAGCAAGTCAATAGAAACTCTGCAGCCAGGGGAAAAAGAGAGCCGGCTGGGTTGTGCACATCGTGCTCTGAAGAGCTCTGTCAAGCCTCCAGCCATCATGGCTCTGAAGAAGAACCGCAGAAGTTTACCAGTAGCTGTGTGTCGAAGCTATGAAACTCTGGATGGCCCCCAGGGTGTAGATACATGGCCAAGATCCCACTCACTGGATGATCTCCAGGGAGAACCCAATACCAACTTACAGGACGCTAACAAGAAAGTAGGCTCTTTTCCTCAGGATTCACTGGATCCAGCTAAAAAGGCAACTGGCTCTGCCTTGCTGCCTCAGTCTCATGGAGGCAGCTGTAAGGTAGATGATGTCATGGCTAAGCAAGGCAAAGGGGCTGCTAATTCTCAGAAGGGAAGAGCTAAGGAATTGAACTGCTCTGTAATTGAGACTGCAGGTGGAAAGCCTGCTCCATTCCCTCTGAAAAACTGTGAAGCTCAGCCTGCCTTAGTGATGCATCATGCAACAAGGACACCTCTGGAAATACAGAGTAAAGGTTTTCATGACCTTGCACGGGCTGATTATGCTCCAGTCCTTAAGGGAGGTCTAGAAGCTGAGCAAAAAAGCACAAACGAGGCAAGAATGCAACCAAAAAATCCCTCTCAGCCACCACCTGTCCCTGCCAAAAAATGCCGAGAACGCCTTTCTAATGGATTATATCATCCTCCCACGACCACAAGTGGAAACCACTCAAATTTAGAAGCACCATGTTTGCCAGTAAAAAAGACAAGCTCATCCACTCCCATTGATTGTCATGGAGTACCTGTCCACAGGACATCTTCTGAACAGGAGCCCAGTAGCCCTCCTAGCCCGCTGCCACCCTGGCTGTCGGAGCTCCCAGAGACTGCTAGTGTTCAGCAGCATGTGGTAAAGCTTGGTCCTGCATCAGCAAGGAAAGTCTCATGCAGCAGAGGAATGGATCTGGAAATGGTGATAGAAAACAAGCTGCAGTCTGAAGACATTGATCTTACTGAAGAACCATACTCAGACAAGGTAAGTGGTGATCACTGCAGTGGTTTTATTCCACATTCCAAGGGATAGTCTGTCATTCATTTTATCTGTCATTTTTTGTGGGTAACTGGCCAAGATAAACCAACAATCGTTGGGACATTAGATATTCCACAGCTCTTGTTTGTCTTTGCTATCAGACTTTATGACTAAAGTAGTTCTTGTGTTGTAGGACTCAGAAATCATCTTTTCAGACCACTGGTGCCTTGGTGGCACTGGACATGGGAATGTGTCTTTCTCTGCTAATGTGGGGGAATAGAGCTGAAAAAGGAAGTAATGATTAGAATTTATGTTTCCAAGAAACTCTGAATTGATAGCATCAATTAGTACATCTTTTTGTAGTGGGGGGAAGGACGGAATATTTTAGGGATTGCTTTTTTAGTTTTCCTGAAACCTTGAGGAAAGCTCCTTCTTGCTTCCATCCTACACTTCTCTTTCTATTGCATTGGTTGGTCTGTATCGCTACACTTCTTTAATCTGTCCTCTCTCCTTTGTATCTGGCTGGGAACATTCAGCACGGTCGCTGTGGCATTCCTGAGGCTTTGGTACAGAGGTACTCTGAAGATTTAGAGCAGCCTGAAAAGGATGTGGCTACAAACATGGACCAAATCCGGGTAAAGCAGCTGAGGAAGCAGCATCGCATGGCAGTGAGTATTTCCATAAAGCAGATTTTCTCCTTTCTGAGCAGACTGTTAAAAGGACTGGCTGGTAGCAAAGGGAGATACTTGAGAAGTCCTGGTACAGAAGTACTCCTTATATTCATCCAGCAGGTACAAGATAGGTAGAAGTACTGCTGGGGCAGGAGGTACCTCCCCGAGTCCCAAAGGAGGACAGTCAGTAGTTGAAAGGAAAGTGGATAGCATTCTCTTGACCAAATAATGAACTTAAAAGTCTAAGCAAACTGCAAGCAGTGGTAACAGAGACTTGCTCACTAAGGATGGCATGTAGTAAATGCTTCTGTATTAAAATTTGAAAGGCTTTACACTCCTTTTTCATTTTTTAACCTGCACTACTGTCCACTTCTCCTTAGCAAAAGCAGAAGGGAGAAACCATCAAAAACTTTAATGGCTTCTTCTGAGAGAACTTGTCTGTCTGAGGAGGTAATAGGCAAAACTGGTATTCTCTTGCCTTACTGAGAAATTAAATGCATCACTCTGAAAAGTCTTATTACTGGGTATTCTTTACTGATCTCAGACTGATTCAGAATGGTACATGAAGGTCAGCCAAGCAGCTGGATACTGCCCACTGTGTCTATATTGCCAAAATTGTTGTCAGTGTTTCTGGCCAAGGGATCTGAGCCTTTCAGCCCACACCACTCATACTGACAAATGTGACATGAGAAAAGTTAGAACATCTGCTATGAAATTCTACCAGTTTGGAAGAGAAAACAAACAAAAAAAAAGACTTGTTGTAAAACAAGCAGATGTGTTTAACATTAAGGGTTCTCTGTTCTTTTTTTTCACTCCCCAGATTCCAAGTGGAGGACTCACAGAAATTTGCCGTAAACCGGTATCCCCAGGACTCATCACCTCTGTGTCTGACTGGCTGATTTCCATTGGTCTGCCTATGTATTCCAGCCTGCTCACAGAAGCAGGAATCAACACACTGAGCAAAGTGCCTTCTCTGTCACAAACTTGCCTTCAAAAAGCTGGCATCACAGAGGAAAGGCACATAAGCAAGCTCCTGGCAGCAGCAAGACTCTTCAAACCTCTTGATCCAGAGGCAATTTAACATGCTCCATAGGGTGACATTGCCTGGTCGAGAATCCACTGCTTCTTCCTGCACCAGTACCACTCTAATCACTTCACATAGCTAAAGGGATCAAGGAATTGGCTCCCCAGGACAGGCAGATATCTTCTTCAAAAGATATGAAAGTATTTGGCCAATGAAGGAGAAGAGAGGCAACCACCAGGTAACATAGATGTGGTACTTCCCTCCCCCCTCACTCCCATCTTAAGTATTCCTATTTCATAAACTGCACAGGGTTGGTCTGAGAATCAGACAGCTTCACAGAATTAAGGGACCCTTGCACATTTTCCTCAAGTTTGTGATAGTGATACTAGTAACAGGTCTTTTGTACATCTAGGTTCCAGGTACCTGAAATCAGTTCTAAAGACCAGGTACAAATCAAGGTGCAAATTCCAGTAGAAGCTGTTTGGCAAATGTCTTTTGTTTATTACAGCAGTCTTGAGCTAAACACAAAGCCCTCCCCAGTCATCTTTGCTGTTGCTTGGTGTAGGTCCCAGTTGCTACAAAGCCTTTAGCTAGGCTGAAGTTGATGGACTGAAATTAGTTTTCAGTGTGGTCCATCTCTGTGACTTCAATGCAACTAACCCATGGAGAGTCAGAAAGCTTCTTTTTATTTGTACAGAGCTGAGATAATTTTTATAACTGCTTTCTAGCAATCAGCTTTTTATTTGCCTTAAAATAAGCTTTTAAGCAGTTACCTAGTGTTCACTTTACCTGTTTTCACATTTTCCAAGCCTTGTTTCAACCTGTCACACTTAAGTTGCATTTAGGGTGATTTCCAGCTGAAGTAGCTTCTATAAAATGCCTCATCATAACATCTCCTGTACTGTAGAGGTGCTTTTACAAATGCAGGGATATATGCTAGGTTTCAGTTGTCAGGTTAACTCCTTGTTCACTACAATTTACATTTACTGTTGTTACTAAACTGTTCCAAGATATACTGCCTTGTATATATGTAACTGCTTTTCATTTTAATCATATTCTGTGTACTGTGTTATATTGTCAATCATTATGCGGCAGCTTTGACTTGGTATCCTGACCATATTGATTCCAAACAGTGGGTTTCTGCAAATGAAAATTCACTTGCATTGAAAAAGCAAATTGTGTCCCATAGAAATCATTAGACCCAGTAATTCCATGGCATGGACAAGAAAATTCCCAGATGGTCTTATGAATAACACTGTGATTTTTAGAACACACCACTGCATTAATATTACCTCTCACTGGAAAAGAGCATTGTTCTGGCAAATGTGATGAACCGTTTCTCATGACGCAATGATATTTTTCTGCCTCCATGTGAAATGTTCCAGTCGCATATGTGACTAATGACAGATTTTATTTTTCTATATTGGGTACGTGTTTTATATACCAAATACAAATGATCATGAATAGCACCTAACCAGATTTTTCTTTGGGGTCTAAATGTGGTGTGTCCTTCAGCTTCTTGCAGGGCAAATGCTCTGTGGAAGACAGAGCAAGCTTAGTCTGGCAGTTAAAGTGAGATAGAATAGAAACCTGGGCACAGGCTGGGCTGTGTGGCTGTTTCCAGTATCAGTTCTGACATCAATTTACTGTATAAAACCAGACAAGGCACTTCACTGTTTGGTGCTCCAATTATCCCAGTCTCATACTGAGCTAATGACTTATGATAAAATGCTGTCAGATTGATGAATGAAAGATTGTGGTTACTCCATGATTCCTTACTATATCTGGCCCTTCGCAGTCATGTTTTAAGTGGATGCATTTTACTACAGATGATAACTAATTTGCCTTCTGGTAGAATTGATAGCTGTTAGGTTTACTTCCCACATTTCATACTTCACCAGTGTCTACTCATGCCATCATATGAAGGCAACTAAGTCACTGATGCAACTTGTTCTCAAGCAAAGCTCTAATATTCTCCTCGGTGTCTGATAAGCAGCATGTTCTGATATGACAGAATCCGGAGAGACAGAGCAGACATGTTTTGTACAGCTGGTGAAAATCTGTGCAGCCTTGCCTCAAGTCCCATGTGCAGTTTTGGGCGTAAGAGTATAAAAATTACATTAAGCTATTGGGGAGCATCCAAAGGAGAGCCACAAGGATGGTGAAGGGTCTGGAGGGGAAGCTTTGTGAGAAGCAGCTGAGTCTGTTCAGCCTGGAGGAAACTGAGGGGATACCTCATTGCACATCCTCATGAGAGGAAGCAGAGGGGAAGGTACTGATCTCTTCACTCTGGTGACCAGGGACAGGACCCAAGGGAATGGCCTGAAGCTGCGTCAGGGGAGGTTTAGGTTGGCTATCAGGAAAAGGTACTTCATCCAGAGGATGGTTGGGCACTGGAACAGGCTCCCCAGGGAAGTGGTCACAGCTCCAAGCCTGTCTGAGTTCAAAAGATGTTTGGACAATGCTCTCAGGTACATGGTGTGACTCTTGGGGATGGTGCTGTGCAGGACCAGGAGTTGGACATGATGGGTTCCCTTTTGTAGCTCAGTATATTCTATGATTCTAAAAGATAAAAGAATTTTTTTTAAATTGATTTTTTAATAATTTTTTTTCTCTTGTTCTTCTCTGAGGCTTACATGGTAACTATCAGTAAGCAGGAGATGGAAAGAGTATTGAGACTTCCTGGGATTGCTAGCAGGGACCAGAACAGAGTAGAAGTAAGTGGACAGCAGTTATATTACAGCAAGGGAAAAGTCCATGCTGACTATAGCAATAAAAAAAGGAAACAAATTTCCTTGTGTTGCAGGGAAGACAAGTCATATAATAAAGCTCTCCCATATTAATCACTCCCCCCTCTCTTAATAACAGAAGGAGAATTATGGGAATAAGCTGAAACTGTTTGCCAAACTCTCTTTGTAAATCCATTCTTTTTTAATGATTATGTGACCCAAGGAAACCAAATCACACCCATCAGGACTGGAGTGAGCAGTTTGAGATTTATGAGTTTTAATATTTGTTTGGTTTTCTTTTATAGACTGTGCTTTGTAGTCTTACTTGAATTACAATTTTAGTTTATATTCTAATCAAAAAAAAGCCTTAAGCTTCTCAGTGTTTGAGCTTCCCTGCTGTGGTTTCAGTGACCTGTGGCATTCCCCAAGCAGCTGAGGTGGTGCATTGTGAGAGCCATAACCTCTTGCATCTTCTTGCAACCTTCAGTGCTCTAAGCAAAAGTTCACTCATTAACTCTTGGAAAGCACAGAAGAAACCTGCTGCTGGAATCTTAATCTGCTCTACTCCGGCTCACCATGTTAATTATCTATCCATTGTATCTTAGTAACCCAAACAGCTATTTAACAATAGAAGCAGCAAGCCCAAAATATTACCAAATGCCATCATAATCATATGCTTTGATCAATAACCTGCTGTTGCTACCCAGGTGGCAATTCCCTGTGCTCTTCTATGAGCCTGGCTGTGGATGCAGACTGGGAGCATGATCAGAAGCATTACACATTGCATTATTCAAACAGGCCATCATGGCTAAGAGCAGCAATAGTGGTCGATTCACCAAGTCACAGCTGTGCAGTTGTACTGTATTATTTTTAGAATAAATAATACTTTCAGTCCAAGATACTTTTAGCATTAATTGACACCCTTTGGGGAATCAAAACTGTTAAGCAAGTTATGTAACAACTAACAAAGTTGCACTTTCTGTATATGAAATCAATATTTAAATAACTTATTTTTCTCCATTTGCTGTTCTTAAATGATGTAAGTAGCTGTAATATACCAGTACTCAATACGTCCTGCAGTTTGCTTCAACCCAAGAAAGCTGTGTATTGTAAAGAAAAAAAAAAACAAAAACAAAATATGAATGTGTAAAGATTATTGTGCTGTTTCATTTAGCAAAAAAAATGGTTGACAAAAGGGTTTTCCTGTGTATCAAAACTTGTCTATAATTACATGTCATACTGTTCATAGGTAAAAAGTAAATAAATTTCCATGGTCTCTCTCTCTCTTTTTTTTTTGTTTTGGTTTTTTTGGGTTTTTTTTTTTGTTTTGGTTTTTTTTCTTTTGTTGTTGTTTTTATTTTTGCTAACAGATCCTCTATTTAATGCTTATGCAGTGATGTCCAGTGATGTAATTTTTTTTCTTATTTCTTTGGCCCTCAACCTGTAGCATACCAAGCCTCGAGTTCCTCTCCTTGTTAACCACTCTCAACACATTTACAGCAGGAGGAAAAGGTTTAAAAAATTTAAAATATTAAAAGCCTAGGTAATTCAGGACTAGAAGCAGCTGTTAAATTACATGATGTGAATCAGCACAGTCCAAACTTTGTCTGTTATATCCTGTGAATGTCCAGCTGCTGGGCTCAGTGAGATATGTGTGAGAGGCCTCCCAGGTCTCCCCTTGAGAGCTTTACCACTTTGCAGTGGAATAATTAATAATTGGTGAACCCAGAGGAAGGGCCCATGAGTACAATGCTGTGGAGTTGTAGTTAAAGCTCTTGCCTGCAAGAAGGGATTTCAAACCTGGTTTGCAAATGCAGCTCTGCTTTGTTTGGCTGGTGAGGTGCTGGAACTCCTGAGCCGCCAGGTAATGTCTCCAGTCTGGAATACGATGCCAGTGCCCAGGGTTGGGGGCAGAGGAGCCTTGGGACATGACTCTTGGCATTTCCTTCCAGCTCACTTGAGTAACTCCTTGCTGACTATTTTGCATTTGTTAAATTTGCTGTGTAATTAATGGGTATGCTTAGCTGCCTAACAGCATGAGGCCAGCTCCTTATGGCAACGGCTTGAAGTTAATCCTTTGTGGATTTAGCCCCAAGGAACGAGGGGAGCTGTGTCTGCACGAGTTGTAGTTAACCGGAAGCTGAACTCAGGAAAGACACAAAGCGGAAAACAAAAGAATCTTTTGGGCTGGATCCAGACAGCTGAATCCTCGTCCCCCCCGGGCAGCGATTCCCGCGGAGCTGCGGGACGTGGCGAGCGGCCGGCGGCCATGAGGGGATGAGGGCTCTGTGCGGCCCTGAGGAGAGAGTCAGGGCTCCGCCCGGCCATGAGCGGGTCAGGGCATCGCGCGGCCCTGAGGGCGCTCGGGCGGCAGAGGGCGCCGCGCCGCCGGGACCCGCTGTTTCCAAGGGTCTCTCAAGTAACAAAACAGAAATAAAAACAAAACAAACGCTGCACAACATGAAAAGCCAGGGCGCTTGCCATTTCTGCAGCTGGAAAGAGCATTGCTTCCCTTCCAAGATTGCTGTGGTCCAGGATTGCGTTGGGAGAAGCTGAAACACAAAGCCCCCATCTATTGCTCTCAGCGTTTTGCTGCTGTGTTTGATCCAAATGTGTGCTAACCACAGTAGCTGCTGCCAAAACCAAACACCGCCACCCCCCAACACATACATACCGATCCTGATTCTAAAACTTCTCTTTCCACATGTGTTTGCACCAGAAAATGAGATGTGGGAGAAACGTGCTAAAAATTCTTGCTGCTAATACTTAGAAAAAGAAACTTTATGCCTGAGCAGAGGGTTCATGTGTAAGCCCCCAGAGACTTAAAAGCTATGAATGTAATGTCACATGTACCACCAGAGCTACCTCAGGAGTCCACTAAAGGATGATCCTTTAACTTTCAGGAAGCAGTACAAAACAAATGGTGTGACTCTTGAGGATGGCGCTGTGCAGCGATGGGAGTTTGACTCGATGATTGTTGTGGGTCCCATCCAACTCAGCATATTCTGTGATTCTATGATTCTTACTAGTTCTTAGCCTTGCTCTTTTTCAGGCACTGCAGTCTTTCATAGCATGAATGGACATCATTATTTGTTTCCTTCAGTTCTGTAACACGAGTAGTCTGTGCTGAGCTTGTGCCTGCAGGAGTTTGCTTGCTGGTACTGTTCAAGTCCCAAAGCTCTGATATTACCGAGATTCTGTCATTTCCAGTGGGCTTGGGCCTCTCTCCAAGCAGAAGAATTTTTGCACATGTAAATGGACTTAGTAATATTCTACACCAAATAGACCCCAAGGCCTCTTTAAAAACTTTTCAGGACATTTATTGAATTAGTATTCTTCCAAAGAGAAGCAGATGAGAACAAAGCCATAGGTCTTATTTGAAAGAAATACTGTTTCTTGGCCTGCTGCAGTTGAAGTCCATGGAAAATATAGGTGCCTATGGTCAAACAGAAAGATGCCTGGTGTGATTAGCTGCTTCCAAGACTAGACAGGTTTGAGTAGGAGAGAAAGGTAAGTTTCAATTACAGTTTCATACTCCAAACCACCTTGCTGTTAATGAATTTGGTTAAGTTTGCCATCTCTAAGATGAATCCTGCATAGCCTTGGAGGTTCTGGACTTGGCTGTCCAAAGGTGGATCCATTCCAGGTAGGCAGAGACCTTTGCATCCCTGACATGTTCTACCTTCCTTATGCCACTATGCATATGCTATTCTGAAATTCCCACAAGCCGCATTTTTTCATTTAGCCACAATTTGCATACACAGATTTGCAAGTTTGTGAGAATAAGCCTGGTGTTTATGTCCACAAATCCTGTCTTAAGGGGACACCCTTGTGAATTAGACTATCAATCTACTGCTTTTTTTTTTTTTTTCTCTCTTTAGCTCCACTAACTCCTATGGTAATGAATACTCACTGGGTACTAAAAATGGAAGATACAATTTTTTATTTTATTTTTTATGTTTTACTGAAGCATGACTA